TTCGGACCATGTAATACCCAGCTTCTCTAGTTTCGGTTCCCAATGGCTGTTGATCATCATGACTCCATAATCGGTGCTGCCATTGCGGTTGAGGTTTGTGGCGGTCATGTCGAACTGGCTTTCAACAGTGGCAATGGCGAGCAATAGTTTGACATCAACCTGGTACCGTTCACTCGCTTTTACGAAACAGTCGTAATGCGGAAAGTTATCTGCACGAACTGGATTCGCCACAAAAACGGTCAGGCACGTCGCCAGGAGAAACAATGCCGTTGCACAAGTAGTCATAACTTCGGTGGCCCACTCGTTGTTTGGTTTCGCCGGAGCACCTCTTCGAAGTCCGCTTCACTTATTCCCTCTTCTTGTCTCGGCACTTCCTCCATGTCCTCGGCGATGATCATAGCGTCAATTTGATTGGCTTTAAGGTTGGTCACCAACGCCCCCATATCGTTGTTTAGGTGTGAGGCGAACCGATCAAATAGAATGTCCTCCCGATCTTCGGCCGTCACCGCTTCTCCGCTCGCAACCCTTTCACTGGCGATTGATTGGACGTCCGCCTTTGCTGCCGAATACGACTGAGCGAATACCTGATCGACAGCTGCGTAATTGACATCGTAGGTAGTTGAGTCTGCTGCCCTCCCAGAAACGGAACCTTTAACGCCAGCGTCCAGTCCCGTCAGGAACTCAGCAGCCCCTGGTACGCTATAACTCGCGTGGGCCTCAGCGCCCGCAGACTGCGATAGCGTCACCCCCGAACTTTGAACGCGGCCGATAAACGAGGCCATATCCATCTTCAAGGCATCTCTTGCCACCCCGTCGCCGTCGGTGGCACGAAGGACTTGTTCCAGTTGATCCTCGTTATCGGGGCTTGTTAATAACGCTGAAGCACCAAACGCGCCACCCGCGCTAAAACTTTGATCGACGCGCGTTGAATTGTCGACAGCGGCCGAACCGCCGGTCCTTACGCTGCTCGCCATCACCTCTCCGTCCGAATCGAGAGATACCGTGGCTACCCCACCAGAGCCCACAACAGCAGCCTGGTCACCCGTCATCACCCCGCCACGTACAAGCCCGTCGACGTTGTCGGTACCATAACCAAAGCTTCGGTTTGCTCCAGCCTGAGCCATCGCAAGTTGTTCAATCGGTATGCCGGACGCATCAGAAAGATTCTCGAGCTGTTCGGAATTCGCGTTTCGAACAAGGGTTTCATTTTGCGCAAGGTCGGCCGTGCCCGCCATGAAGCCTGGTTCGGACATCACCTCCGCTAGTGCCAAGCCACTTTGTGTCGACATCACTTGATTCGCAAATGCCCCAGACGCCACCTCACCGACCGTCATATCCGCCAGCTGCGACATATTCGCGCTTTGCATCGCGGCCTGCATTTTCCCGCCGGATTCCGCTAACTGCCCAGGATCCACACCCATTGCATGGGCGCCACCCATAATCCCGGCAAGATGATGATCCGCCAGGTGTCGATTGTTGGTCATGAAGTCGACTGCGCGGTCCGCATCTCCGTTGAATGCATTCACATCGCCAGTGATACTGGCCAAACGCATTTCGGAATAGGCTTGCGCTGCGTCGCCGTCACTGAGCGCCCGACCGGTCCGTTGCGCATGGATATCCTTGAACGATTCGATATTGGACGCGTGAGTTCTGGATTCACCAGCCGACATGAGTGTTTGGTAGGTACTCACGAAATGGCCGAAGTCATTTGCATTGTCGAAGCCCATACTACTCATGCCGTCTACTTTACCTCGCGCCTCACCAAACCTTTGGGCTTGTTCCAGGTTAGTGACCTCACTCGCAACAGAAAAAATATCGCCTGGCGACATCGGGTCACCGCCACTTTTTGAGACGTTGCCTTGATTTGCCAGCAGGCCACCAAAGTCAAAACCCGCACTTATTGCACCCTTCGCCCGAATGGCATCGCCGTGCGACATGCCCATCGAAGACGTCGCCTCAAGATACTGTTGCGATGCACTTAATCCTGACCCGCTAGCAAAAGCGGATGCTGTGGCGTGGCTTTCGAATCCGAGTGACCCCATATTCAACGCGGTCGCGTAACCGGCCGAAGCCGCCTGCAACGATGTCCCTTGTCCCTCCGGTGTCACGGATTTGTCCGCCGCATTCGAACCCGCGCCTTCAACCCGGCTCTGGAAGCTGTGTGCCACTTGCGATAGCGCGTAACCTGAAAACCCGACGAGAACCGCCGCAAGCAATGACGCGATGGTTATCCCCATACCGCGGGCTTGACCGAAAATAGCAAGCGCCTTTGTTGAAACCTCGGGCGTCAACATCATGGCCGTCAATCCCATGTTGTGGCGCTGGATCTCCTCAACAGCCACCAGCGCCTGGTCCATTGCCCCGCGATGCATGACTGCATCTGAAATTCCCCAAAATGTCAGCCAAGACAGCAGTCCGAGCATGGCCAAAAGCGATTTTGGGGCAAGCGGCGTCACCAAGAACACAACCAACAATGGGAACAGGCCGAGAACAATGGCAGTGACCGTGGCGCGGACTGTGGGGAGCCATTCATTGGCCGACTGCGCGATGCCGATGCCTTCTGTCAACACAGCCCGATTCGTTAACGCGCGTAATCCGACGTCCGGATTTTGATCTTGCAGCGCTGAGGCAATCGCTGTCGCCAACGCGGCGTTTCTCAGAAAATGAATATGGTCGCCAGCCGTGTTGTAGATTGAAAGGTTTTGATCCGACAGGATCGCCTGGCAACGTGCAAGTTGGGCCACATCCCTTGGGTTGAAACCCGATTTTTGACAAACGGTATTGAGCATCGGCGCATAGAGCGCGGCTTGGTTCAATTGGGGCTGAAGGTTATTGTTCCAATTATCCTCACAGCTCACGGCAACGCCGCCTTTGTTTGCGACATCATAAAATTCGGTGAAGTCAGCCGGGCTGCGCAGTTCCTGCAACAGCGTAAACAGGCTGCCTGTCCCGCTACGTAATTGGTTCAGATCAAAGTTATAGGCCGGTTGAATCAACGCCATTTGTGAACAATCAATGTAGTAACGCCTAATCGAATTGTTTAAGTAATAGTCGGAAAATCCACCGTTGTAATCATTCATGGCGCTCAGCAGCATTTGAAAGTTAATTCCGCCTGCGCTGTCTGCGTACGGGAACGCACCGTTGTTGTCGACCAGTTCGACCACGATTCGCTCAACCTTGTTCATCGCGCCAGCGACAAAAATAACCAAGTCTGGGACACCGCCTACAGGCTGATAGGCGTTCCTGACCGGGTCGTAGACATGCATCGTCCCCGTAGGAATCACCAAGCCGCGAAAGATGAGCACCCCGATTAACGTCATAAATGCCCACGACCAGGTGCTGCCACTGGCGTTGTTAGCCAACGCTTTCACCCCGGACGCCATGGCGGCAAATACAATGCCAAGGATTATCGCGATGGCGATGAGATAGAGGTATTCGTTGTCGCCAAAAACAAGAGCGAGGCGTTGGAACGCAGCAACCGTCTGATCAAAGCCGTTGTACGTGTAATAGTCAAGATCCAACGCGAACGCGCTTGCCGGCATCAGTGCGACCAGTAATGCTGATAACTGCGTAAAACGAATAGCCAAAATCTTCATTTTCTGGGCACCTGTTCCGATATCAGTTGGTCGCCTCAAGCGCTGCTTTTCTTCGAAGATCGCGTTCCTGTTGCTCATGAAGTTGGGCGAACTGCCAATGAGCCAGGTTCTCTTGCACCTTTCGTACGTAGCTTTGCGACACGCCTTGCCGGACCTCGCGAACTGATTCCTGCAAGCGACCAAATTCGCTGAGGCCTTTCTGAAAGACTCGAACGTTGCACTGATTGCCGACCGCCGCACCATCAACGCCTGGCATCGTCGCAATAGCATCGATCTTCTGGAATAAATAGTTGGTATTGCGATAGAGATCGTCGAATATCTTGTACGCATAAGCGGTTGCTACCACATCTGTCATCACCGCGATCGTCATGGGTGTGTTCTGCTGTGCAATCGCTTTGCGCAGGATTGAGTAAATTGGAATGGGCGAGTGCTCGATGAACGTCACCTGCGCCGCCGTTAGGGGTGCTTTTGCGGCCATATTGTCAGCAATGTCCGTCAACCGATCTCCAACAATCACTTGTATTGATTCCGCGTTGTCATCTACACACGTTCCGTCCACCAACTTGGCTTGTGCTGTGCCGTCTAACATGTCGTCAATGCCAATCTGATCGTTGGTGGGACAACCCTCTATACGTGTAGCCACCGGGATCAGATCCGCAGCCTCAGCGCGGACAACCACGTCGCCAATGTACCCGCGTATGATGTCCGCACTACTAGGAATCCCGAATAGGGTGGCTGCATTTTCTATAATTGATCCGCTGCCGAAGAGGGTCCGAAAATCTGCCGGGCACTCCAAGATCTGCGTTTTGAGATCCACAATCGGATTGTTGTTGCCGGCTTGAATGTCTTGCTGGGCTTGGTCATACGACTTATTAATCGATTGGCTCAGGCTTTCCCCAGAAGAAATTTCATTCCAGAGCGCACCAAGCACATCTGGGTCGTCTTCCGCGACAGCCGTGACGACACGGTTGGATATCGCACAGTCATCCAGCTGCAGGTTGTTCAGCCAGTTGGTTGCTCCTTCCAGCTTTGACATCGAGTCAGACAGCTCTTTTGCCATGACCTTTAACGCGATATCGAATGCCAGCGCCGGGGACGCTTGAATGATATTTTGAAATTTTTGGACGAGGTAATCAGCATCGAGAAATGACATGCCGCCAAGAAACAGATCCACCCCGCCGCAGCCGCTTTTTAGCTTCGGCAAAGTCACTGTAATTGGGTGATCAACGGCCATATTCAATCGCCCCTGAAAACCACCGGCAGAATAAAAGCCACGTTGCTGGTTTTGATAACTGCTACTGCCCGTCACGACTGCGTTGTTAAACCAGTCGTCTGTCCAGCCCGCCTGCGCGGATCCGGCCGCGAACATCGTGACCAACGCTATGGTTCTAAGTACTTGCTGTTTCATAGATCCTCCTCCGGCACCACGGTATCGGCGAAGCCGCCATCCTGGTATTCCGTCGTGAAAAATTGTTTTTCTGTAATCTCGCCTTTGAGTAGCCGTACAGCTCGATAGGTGTTGTCTTCAATCGCTGCAACTGATTCAAGGCCAATCGCGATCGGCATCCAACGCTCGGAGCCGCGTTCAATGAGGATGGTCATTGGCGTGGTCGTGATGTTGAATCGTGCCTGTAAGGCGTGATCCCGAGTAATGTCGACGTCATCAACCACCCAGTGGTGCCGGTCGGCAAAGTACTTCAGAACATTAATCTGACTCGTGCAGTACGGACATTCGGGCGAGGAGAACATAATCAATGCATAGTCGTTGCGTGAGCTACTCAGAGATCGCTCGATGCGATCACCGCGCACCTGAGTCTCAATATCTCGGCCAGCGCCTGATGACGCAAACGCGGAGCGCGCATTGAGCTCTGGGTTCTTAAGCATCACGTATTTTGTTAGGGCGGTAAACGCGAGTGCATGGCGCCGGACGACGTCCTGCACTTTGTAGTAATCAAGGACCGCTTCGGGCGTTTGCTTCCAGACTGCGTAGACCTTCCGGTCCTCCAATTCCTTCTTAATGTCCAACGGATGCATCTCGGCCAGTACCTGCATTGAGGGCAGCGCAGGCAGTTCATACCGCGCCATGGCCTCCTCTTCTTCTTCCGTCGGTTTTTCTTCATACCACCAGAAACCTTTTTTCTCGGTCTCGCGAGCGGTCTCGGCGTACGCAAGAGAAACTGTCGTCCCAAATAGCGTCCCCAGTATCGCAACACTGGCTAAAGCGCGAATTGGAATCATGGAAATATTTAGTTTCATAGCGACGTTAGCCTCCGGATCCATATAGCGGGACCAATCGTTCCGTCGATGCGACGTCAATGAGTCCCCAGTACCGGCTGTCGAAAGAGTCTGCGTGAACACCAAACGCAAAAGCCTTCCCGGGCGGTACACGGTCATTGAAAATAAAAAGCGGTAGGGGCTGCCCATTGAGGCCTGTTTCCTTTGCGAGGCCAAGTGGCTGGCCATTACAATAGTGTTGGCGGCCATCGATTGTGAGCAGATCGCCCTCCCAGCAGACGAGGCGCTTTGTCAATCGAACCGGTTCTTCTCCGGCCAACGGGTGGCTGAATAGGAATGTGGCGTAGTCCCCTTTGTCCGGTTGTGCGCTTGTTCGCCAAAAGATTCGCTCATCAACCGACGCAGAAACAGTGACTAAGATATGACGCTCTGCATGAAAGATTGCGACGCACCCCAGAGCTACAATTCCCAGTTTCCAACCAAACGTGCGCCACTCGATCGTCGCCGGTGTGAGGATCCGTTGTACAAGGCGCCCTAACATCACAGTGTCCTCCGGGCTGATACACGGGTCGTCTTCATTTCATTGCCTCGATAAGTCGCTCTAGCGGTTTACTCTTCGACAGGCGAAAAAGCTCTGTTGCCATGTGCCGTGCCGAGACATCGCCGTACACGACATAGCGTGCTTTTGCGGGAATCGAGTCGGCTTCGAATCGTTCGCAGTACGGTTCCAACGGCATGTCTTCGACAAAAACAGCCGCCGGTACTTGGGCAATCCCGTTTTCCCGAAAAAGCACAGGGTCGATCACGAAGTTCGTCGTTCGCATCGGGCAGTTGCCACCCGTACAGTTCGGGTCTATGCGTAGCACCTTGCTGATGTGCGCCAGCGTCGGGCCCATGCTTTTCATGCCGCCAACCATGCCGCGCATGACCATTAGGCCATTTATCTCATCCAGGTCTTTCGCATAATTGCGGAGCGTGTTGAGCGGCATCGATGACGAAACAAACACAACCAAGCGGTCTTCCGCGATGTATGGCGCATCTTCGTCTTCCGCCTCATCGACGATCCCCGTCAGAACACCAATGTCTCGTCTAAGGCGGCTCTGCTGCGCCACCCACTCCGGGCTTTTAACCCGATCCATGACCGCATCAAGCGCTGACTGAACTTCGGCTGAGACCACAACTTGGTCGCCAACGGTTTCTGCCACTTGCGCCTTCACCACATCGGAGGGTTCAAAGGTAAGTTGTGCATGAGCTGCGCCAACTAAACTCGTCAGCACCGCGGTAAGTAGAAGAGGCATCAATCTAGTATTCATAGGTCACACAACAATTGATTTTCTTAAACATCACCCAAGAGAAATTATCGCCCTGTGTTGGCGGCTGTTTGTAAGCGGTCCATAGAAGCCCCGGTCGCCCGATACGATGACACGACGCATCTTTCACCGGCTTGGCGAGCTGCAGCTTGAAGCGGTCTTTGCGCCAGATTGGCGTGTACTGCAATGAACACCCATCGAGCGCTGTGTCCCACAGCAGCCCGGTTCTGCCCATAAAGTAGATACTTCGTGCCGCCAAGCCAGCGTTAGCCTCGACGTAATCTGTGAGCGTGATGGACCCGGCGAGGGGGTAAACACTGCCCCAACTGCCCATACACCAAAACAACTCGTTGCGCGGCTTACCTAACAGGACCGCTGAGGCATCTGCTGCACAGGCCAATTGCGACACGGGGTTTGCAAAAAGCACGGCCTCTGGATTCACAATGGTGGACAGGATGTCGTCGTTCCAGGTTGGGACGAGTTCCGACATCATGGCGACATCAAACGTTTCGTCCTGCAAACACTGGATATCAGTGAATAGATCCAGGATCGACCAAACTGGAAAGATGTAGTAGTGCATTTGTTGGAACGCGCGTTGGCTGTTCTCGTCACGGTCCATCGAACCACCGAGGCTCCCAGGTCTGGGATTGGCAAGCTTCGACCCCAACGCCATCAGGCAGTAAGGATCCGACACCGTGTCAATCAGTCGAGACGGTTCCCAAAAACTGACCGTCAGCCCAAACTTTGGAACGGTGCCGCCCGTGCAGACGCAAACCGGATTAGCAATGTCGTCAGCGTCGTCGGGATTCGATCCAAGCTGAACAATACCGGCAATTTGTATCGGAAAAATGCACTGCCACGAAACGTCCGTAACGGGGTTAATCCCCGGGCCCGTGCATTCACTCGCTTTCACGTCGCCGGAGATGAACAGAAGCATGAGTACTACTGTGACAACGATTGGCGCCAAAAATAGATGCTGGCGTCTCACGATTCTACCTCCACGAAGAACTCTTCAACGACGAACCTATCGCCGAACTGCGTCACGATCGATGGCACCGCCTCAATGCCGAGCCGCGTTTTGGTCTTTGCATCTAGCATAAACGTGGGCCGTTCTAAAACTTCGCTCGCTTCTTCAAAGTCCCCATTGGTCAGAATGACCATATCGCTGTCTTTAAGCCGTGGCTTGACCCAGGCCACATCAGACGGATTGATGACGACAACTCGGTAAGGCAGCGAGATGTGTTCCAACACGTTAAATTGAAACCCTTTTGGGTAGATAACCTGGCCGAACTGGTCTCGCACATCAAATTCAATTGTGTACCAAGGCACATAGTGACGGGTTTGATCAACCGCTGCGCGTGGCACGAGATACCCGTTCTTTGCCGACCAAGTCACGTTCTCTAACGCTTTCGCCCAATCGACTGCTTTTGCGCGGCCTTCGATTTCTTCCAACGCATCGCGCTCTGCAATAGGATAGGTCTGGCCAACCGTCACCGATTCAGCCAACACACCTTGCGCAAATAGCAGCGCGCTAGCTGCCAGGACCTTGGGTATCATTGAACCGCTGCACTCCGTCTTGAATGGTTTGTTGGATCACCGCATCCGACGCTTGCGTGATGTCGTCGTAGTATTCGGTGAGATCGATTTTCGAAAAGTCCAGTGCCTGAAACTCTTCTGGCGTAAACCCTCGGCAATCGGGTGCTTCGATATCTCCAAAGCCGTTCGGGAACGTGCTCAATTGCACACGCCCCTGTTCGTGAATGATCTTGGCCAGTTTTGAATTGAAACAGCATTGCGTTCGTCCACGTTGGACACACGATCCTAGAATTCGGCGCTTACAATACGAACCGAGCTCGACGCAATACTCGGACGCAACCAACGCCGCCGCTTCCAAGCTCTCCTGCGGACAGGCCCTGGTTAACCACTCCAGTACCAGCGCAACTGCTATGGCAATAACAAGCGTGGTTGGATCGAACGCGACGGCAAAAACGTCACCGGCTGCTGTTGCACCCGCCGACGCCGCAGCCCCCGTAGAGGCACCAGAAGCTACTGCCGCGGAATAGGCGCCGTAGGCGGTGGTTGCGGCTTGAAAGGTTGCAATAATGGCTTTGTTGGTCAGCGTGCTTTGGACTGCGCTACCCGTTGAATCGGTATAGATTTCGCCTTGCGCTTCGCAACAGTCTTGGAAGGCGGTAGACAGCCCCGACGGCAAGCACTCCATGGCGCGCCCATTGAAAATGACCGTTGCGCCAAGACAATACCCGTCTTGGTCTCGATCACCATCATCAATCAGCATTGTCCCCTGCCCTTGCAGCGGCGTATCGACCGGCGGTGATATTGCCAAATCGACGCAGGCATTTGCACTACATTGCTGAACGCCGGCATTGTCAATGCACGCGAATTCATTACCTAATGGACAGGTGTAGTCACCGGGCGCTGCTGTGCACACCTGCATGGCGCTTGCACATGCGGTTGTGCACGCCCCGAGATCGTTACCAAAAAAACCACCTCCGCCGGTAATCGTTGGGCAGAAGTAAATGGGTGAACCAAACACGTCGATCGCCTCACAGGTGCCGGGCGTGTTGCAAACGCCTGCCCTGCAAACGTTTCCCGCGATAGGGCAAACCTCTGTCACACCGGGTGTGCAATCTGTCGCGTTGATTGGACACAATTGATCAGAGCCCACGCAACCGGCCATTTCCCCGGGCTCGGTCGTGTCGCCATTGCCATTGAGATCCTCGACACAGACGATCGGATCCGCGGACAGCGTTACCGGCCCTAACGCCAGGCACGCCGTGAGGAACCAGGCGATTACTGAACAGGTTGTTGAGTGCCGCTTGAACATAGGATGTCCTGACCTCCCATTCTCACTAACTGCATCACCACGGAGGCTTCCGCAAATTCATCGATGCAACCGCAGTCTTTGACAATCTCTTCACCGGCGCCCAGTGGGCAGACATTGCTTTGATCACATTCGTGATAAAGCATGTCGTAAGTGGCTGGTTCGGTGTTCGAATCCGACACCACGCCCGATCGCCCGACATCGTTGCGAATACGTTCCCGCCGTGTCTTGCACGCCGAGACACATGCGGGTACGGGCACTTCATCAATCAACACCATCGTCCCATCGGTTATCGTGATAGCGCCGGTATCAACGTCAGCAATCCGGTCCTGGTACTCGGTTGGTGTCGCGCTTGCCTGAATAAACGCTTTACGTTCCAGGTCCGATGTGAAGTCGTAATCGTTGTTGCTGACGCACTCATACGTGCGGCGCTTGTCCCACCAGTCCCGCGTGACGTCCGCTGAACACGCGACACCGCTGATGGTCCTCGTGGCGGGTATTGGCGTTAAGCCGGTTGCTGTGTTATTCCGAACGGTCTCTACGCCATCTACAACTTCATCCAGTAGATTGCACTCCGGGTCCGCCTGATAGGCTTGACAACCATCCAATACAACGTCGGGTTGCAACTCACACGAGGTATCTACGATGACGCGCGCATAGGCATACCCTTCTCCAAACCCTGCCACCGCAACGCGAATGTTAAAGTCCACAAGACCACCGGCGGTGAGGCTATTCGTGAAATTCACGTTCGGGGTTTGATTCCAATTTGTTAAACGTTCACAGCGACCGGGGGGATTGCCATGACCTAACCACGGGTTTGGTCCGCTCCAAATGAGGTCCGAGTTGGCTCGCACCTGGATCCAGTCGTCCCAATTGGCCCGGGTCAGGCTCGCGCTGACAATGCGGTCCGGACGCAGAACATTGAATTGCACGTTGTGTTCGAACATCGAGCATGCCGCCGGACCCCAATAATTGTCGCCCACGGTTCCCAAAATCAATTGCAGACAATTGGCGCCACAGGGTGACACCGATCCAGAACCGCTGTTGTAGTCGATGATGTCGTTGAGATCGATTTCATCCATCGTCACCGACCGACGAATATCGCAGTCGACCTGAGTAAGATCGCTTTGTGTCGCGGCCGGAGTCCCAGCGATAAGCTGATACACGTCATCCGCCGTCGCTGCGGCGGTTGCATCGCCCGACAGCGTCACGGGCGCTGCAAAATAGCGCGTTAACGGGCTAGGACCTGGCGCGCCACACTGCGCCGTGTTCTGCCCAAAATATTCCGCCGTTGGGCCGTTAACCCGAACATTGGTGATCGCGTAGTACGGGTTGTTTGTCGCCAACGCTGCAGCCGCACCGCCACCTATTGCGGCAACGGTTGTATCCAGGTTACTAACGAGCAACCCTGCGCCGCAATAATTATTCAGGCAGTAACACCCACCCAATTGGCTGAGTCCGACCTCGACGACGTCCAGGTGATTGTTATCGCGTGCCGTCCACTGGTAGTTGCGGCAGTTGTCCCACGTGCCCGGCGTGCACGACACGAAACCGTTGGCGCACACCCCCGAGACGTGCGTTGGCGTCGAATACACACGGTCATACACGCCGTCCATGGTCGTGTCTTGCTGAATATGGATACCCCCGATATCGCCGGTTGCACTCGGCGTGATGAGCACTTCCATAAAACCATCTTCTTGCTGACAGATGAGCTGCGCATCAAACGCGACGCCGTCGGGGGTTTGCATTTGCGCGTCCGACAACAGTGGATTTGTTAGATTGTCCTGAATCGCCTGCGGCGTACCCACAATTTGCTGAAACGACGCGGCCGCATCTCCAGCGGCGGTCACGTCCTCAGGACCCGCGTGCACGCCAACGCTTGCCAGGAGCAGCACTGCCAAGCTGCCAGAATAGATCTTCACAGCGCGATCCCAGACAGTTCGCTGATGGCTTCAATGGGCGTTTTGCCCTGCTTGATCAACTTGTTGAAGGCCGCAACTTCATCCCCAGCCGACGTATTGACCCAGTAATTCCAAGGGTCCACGACCAAACGAGCCACACCAGCGCCAAACGGTGTTTCGAGGAACATTTCAGAGTAGCGAGGCTTGTTGTTCTTGATCGACGTCAGGAGCTCTACGGCCAAGCCTTGATAGTCAATCAGGCCTTCCGAGATTGCTTTTGGGTAGTCCTTGCCTTCGAGCATGAACTTGTAGGCTGCGTTGTTGAGTAAAACGTCGCCGATTGAACCAAAACTCTTCAGGTCAACCATCGACTGCAGGACAACGCCAAAACTGCCGTGATATTTTCGGGCACGGCGAAAGCCTTCTTCGATAATCATCGCAAGACGCGATAGATCGTGTACGCCGTTCTGTTTTAAGAACGACGCCGCCTCCTCGAATAGGATAAATCGCCGATCACTCCGATCAGATAGATACAGATCCTGGGTGACGCTGTTCATCACCTGCATCACGACGACGGTAAACAGTTCCTTCACGCCTTTAAGCTGATCCAGCTCGAGTACTACAAACTCATCGGTCGCGATGTCGAACGTCGACGGCCCGTTAAAGAACGAGCCGTACTGGCCTTTACTCGTGAAGTCGCGAAGGTTAAAGGCCAGCTCGTGCGCCTTGCTGCGAGCGAACTCCACATCCTGCCCGTCCATATCCGGACTCATCTCTGGGAACTTGCGCAACCATTCCTCAGCGTAATCCACGCCGCGTTCAACATTGCCTGATCGAAAAGCTGCATTCACCGCCCCCTTTATGAGCGTCCACTCCGTTTCTGACAGTGCAGCGCCAGAGGCCGAATAGGCCATTTCAGCAACAATGTTTGCGGCGGCTACCTGGTTTTTCTGTTTGTCTTCTTCGTCCCGGTGAGCGCCCATGAAGGGGTTGATGACGGGTTTTTCTTTGCCAAAGTCCATGAATCGGCCGTGGCAGGTGTTGCACAGTTTTTCGTAGGAGTAACCGATATCGACAATGCGTATCAAGGCGTTTGTGGCGTAGTAGTTGCCGCAAAGGTTATTCAACTGAAACGACTTACCCGAACCGGATTCGGCAGCGACCAAAAAGTTGTGGTTGTTCGACCGGTTGTCAAAGAGATCAACGCCAATGTGCTGCCCTTTTCGGCCGACATACGCGAGCACCGGTTCGCTTGCGCCTCGAAAGTCTCCCTGAATGGGTAGGTAGCGCGCGACGGCCGCCGCATGACAGATGAAAGAGCGCTCCATTTTTCCGACGTTGCCACGATCTGTGTAAAGCCCAAACGGCAAAGACGCGATCAACAGCGCCTTGCTCATGATCGTTTCTTCCTGCATCACAAAGTCTTTTGACTCCCAGATGCGTTTGATGCGGGACGCACTGTCACGCAGTTTCTGTGGGTCCTCATCAAACACCCACAGTGACGGCACAATGGTGACGAATCGATCACTCTCAAACTTATCGAGTGCCCAGCCAAACTCTTCCATCCGGCGCTGAATGGCAGCAGCGAAGCTCCCGCCGCTCTTCTGCATCATGGTCATGCTGGCTTTCTGATGCAGAGAGAATTTCAAATCGTCGAAAATGATGCTGCAGGTCCAAAGGAACGGCGACGTAATCTGTTCGGCGTCTTCCGACACACCGCGAATCCCACCGATCAACGTGTTGGATTTGAGCGGATCAACTCGCTTTGGGTTTGCTTTTGGCGTCAGACATTTTGCGTACATATTGCCCAAGCGGTATGGCTGGGTACGAAAATCGATATCCGTGTCCGCGCTGATAATCTGCTTTCGAATGGGTAACGATTCATCGAACGTTCCAATAGATCCGCCGTGCTTGCGACCGTTGAGTAGGTTCCTTGCGAATTGCAAAAAACCTTCGATGGGTAGCCGTCGCGGATACAAATGCGCGCCCGTCAGCATTTCTTCGGTAATCGAAACGATGTCTTCCGATAACTGGCCTTTGGAATAGAGCGCGACGAACAGCCGGAAATTACGCAGCGGAATGCCGTGGCACTTTCGGATCCCATCCGCGCCTTCCTCAAGAAAATCGCTGTAGGCTTCAATGTTTTTCTTAACCAGCGGATCGCGGCGCGTCTTGTTCCTTTGGAACGCATCGACAAACCCCGTGACGTCGTGGTCACTGTAGAAGCAGAACTGCAACACCGTGTCTTTCGGGAAATCGGCGCGGATCAGCGATTCGAGCTGCTTAACCTCATTTAATCCGGCAAACGGGATCGGTGTGCACTCCCAGAGGTAACCAACCGTATTGTTCACGTTCAGGTACGCATGATCCTCGCGGCGATACAGCTTCCACGGTAGGTAATCCGATAAGCCCGAGCGGTCACACAGTTTTTCAAGGTCGGAGTAGCGCGCGCCACCGTTATCGCCAAACAAGAAATTGCGCACCTGCTTGAACAACGATGCCTCATCGTCATTCGGGTTGCTCGGCGGCAGTCCGACGGGCTCATCGTCGTGGGCTAAACCCCGTCGTTTCCCAACCGGCGACTCGCGCTCAATATCGACGCCCGCTTTACGGGCGATCTCGGCCATCAGTGACTGTCCTTAGTCATCGACTCTTGGCTCACCTTCACGACCGACTCCGGTATCAATTCCGGTCGTCGGTTCAGGTAATCGCCCATCACGAACTGCGGACCTTGTGAGATTGAGAAAACATACCGCGGCATATACAGGCGGCGAGGATTCTCCCGGTTGGCGTAGCTGATAATAAGCGTGCGTACCGTGGTCGCCGGTCGGACCATGGGCGTCGTTGGCGTGTTCAATAGGGACCGCATGTGTTGATAGACTGCAGAGCGGTAGGCACCGTATTCGTCCATGTCTGACGTCACGGCTGTGGTTGAGTCGCCGCCTGGACTACCCC